TGTTTCACACCCAAGGCTTGATTGGAGAATATTATCACCTTCTGGCCAGCTTACATGTCTGAACACATCCACCACTATGTCCCACTTCATAATCTAAGATAATCCGGGGAGGCCCTGCTCTCGCTCCCATGCTCTGTTCCGCTTTGGTTAGACCACACCTGGAATATTGTGTCCAATTCTGGGCACCACAATTCAAGAGAGATATTGACAAGCTGGAATGTGTCCAGAGGAGGGGGACTAAAATGATCAAGGGTCTGGAGAACAAGCCCTATGAGGAGCGGCTTAAGGAGCTGGGCATGTTTAGCCTGAAGAAGAGAAGGCTGAGAGGAGACATGATAGCCATGTATAAATATGTGAGAGGAAGCCACAGGGAGGAGGGAGCAAGCTTGTTTTCTGCTTCCCTGGAGACTAGGACGCGGAACAATGGCTTCAAACTACAAGAGAGGAGATTCCATCTGAACGTGAGGAAGAACTTCCTGACTGTGAGAGCCGTTCAGCAGTGGAACTCTCTGCCCCGGAGTGTGGTGGAGGCTCCTTCTTTGGAAGCTTTTAAGCAGAGGCTGGATGGCCATCTGTCAGGGGTGATTTGAATGCAATATTCCTGCTTCTTGGCAGAATGGGGTTGGACTGGATGGCCCACGAGGTCTCTTCCAACAGACAAGGCATGTAGCCAGGGCGGGGGGGGGGGGGGGTCTTGAGGGGCTTCAGCCCTCCCCCCCTCCCGAAATTCTCATGGTGGTCCTCGATAAGGCCTTACTGGTACATTATTTAAACTGTTATGTTTATTTATTTACTGCCAAGCCATCAAATGCTAATCAAGGTGGTCAGTTGAAACATTCACACCTAGCTCCAACATACAAGAGTTCTTTGTCCCACCCTGGTCATTCCACAGATATATAAATTCAACAGATATATAAACCCATCTTCCTAGTTCTAACAGACCTCACTACCTCTGAGGATGCTTGCCATAGATGCAGGCGAAATGTCAGGAGAGAATGCCTCTAGCACATGGCCATATAGCCCAAAAAAACCTACAACAACCCAGTGATTCTGGCCATGAAAGCCTTCGACAATAGCTTTACTCCTGCTTCCCAAATGTGTGCCAAACGATGCCAAGCGCTGCATGCCTTCCAGCCCACCCTTGGCTGTTATAAATCACTGGAGCTTTGAGGGCGCCTGAATCTATAATTAGTGCATAATTAATTGCCAGATGTTTCCAACACTAATGAAACATTAATAAGTAACGAAGCCCTGCAGCCTGGTAATGGGGCCTTTCAAAGGCTGGCAGCAAGAGACGGCTAATTGCCTGACACCGGCTCGTGGACCCAAAGCAACGGGAGGTCTGATTGCGAGGAAGGGAGGCCAACGGCGTATCCTCGAAAATGTTTTCTTTGGGTGCCTCTGCACTGTAGAATTGATGCAGTGTGATACCACTTCAATGGTCACGATGCAAGGCTATGCAATCTTGGGAGTTGTAGTTTTGCAAGTTCTTTGAAGTTAAAGCAGACAAAGGTGTCAATCAAACTGGATTAGTTCCACATACAGTGTCGATGTGTCCTATCTCTCAATCTTAATCTATGTAATTTCTTTCTGCTTGTGGGTAAACAGTATTTCTTGTTGTTTCTTTGTCAGTGTTGATATGGAGATTGTCTGGTTGGCCTACTCTGGAACATGGAGCATATTATTGTCCTTCTTTAGAGGTCTATTTCAAATCTATGATACTATATCTGTGTGTGTGTGAATCATATCTATCTATCTATATCTATGACTGGATGGTTCTTTGTCAGGAGGGCTTTGATGACATTTTCTTGCCCTGGTGAAGGGAGTTGGACTGGATGGCCTTAAGTATTTTCTGTTGGTCATGGGGGTTCTGTGTGCGAAGTTTGCCCCATTTCTGTCGTTGGTGGGGTTCAGAATGCTCCGATTGTAGGTGAACTATAATTCCCAGTAACTACAACTCGCAAATGTCAAGGTCTATTTCCCCCAAACTCCATCTGTGCTCATATTTGGGCATATTGAGTATTCGTACCAAGTTTGGTCCAGATCCATCATTGTTTGAGTCCACAGTGCTCTCTGGATGTAGGTGAACTATAACTCCAAAACTCAAGGTCAATGCCCACCAAACCCTTCCAGTGTTTTCTGTTGGTCATGGGAGTCCTGTGTGCTAAGTCTGGTTCAATTCCATTGTTGGTGGAGTTCAGAATGCTCTTTGATTAGAGGTGAACTATAAATCCCAGCAACTACAACTCCCAAATGACAAAATCATAATTTTTGAGTGATGGTCACTCCTTGTGTTGTGAGACATTTTGTTGCCAAATTTGGTGTGATTTCGTTCATTGGTTCTTTTGTTTTTAAAGTACTCATTACACACAGAGCATTTATATATATATATATAGATATTAAAAATACGCATGGAACAAACTCTCTCTCTCTCTGTGTGTGTGTATTGAACCACGAGAAAGCAAAGGTGTCACACTCTTAGCCAACCAAGTGGACAATTTGTGGAGCCTTTGTCACAAGAAAGATAATGTGGATTTGATATGTGTGGGTATAAATGGAATTGTATTGTCGAAGGCTTTCATGGCCGGAATCACTGGGTTGTTGTAGGTTTTTCCGGGCTATATGGCCATGGTCTAGTGGCATTCTCTCCTGACGTTTTGCCTGCATCTATGGCAAGCATCCTCAAAGGTTGCTCTGAGGATGCTTGCCATAGATGCAGGCAAAACGTCAGGAGAGAATGCCACTAGAACATGGCCATATAGCCCCAAAAAAAACCTACAACAACCCATGAAGGGAATTTGATGAAATAAATGAATGAATTTTGGAGATGCCATTCAAAAATATTGAGGCCTGCAATAACTAATTACCTGCTTACTGGACTGTAATTAAAACCTGCTAATGAGTACTGAAATGGTAAACTGTGGTAAGAACTGTGTCCGTGATAAGAGAAATGTTTACATCTGTGTACATCTGTCAACATTTGCTGACCAGAAACCGGATTAACTCTAAAGGAAACAATCTCTGTTTGCCTTAGTCAAAGACAATGCTCTTTCAAGTCAAACCCAGAACACAATGGTTTGTTACCTGTTATGTCAGGTGGTGAAGACTCAAGATAATTTCAACAGGACAATTATTTACGTCAGCAGAATATTCCTATAATAGACTCAATCTAATAATTCGCAAGTGTGGCAGAGTGGGCTGGCATGTTTCCTATTGATGAGGCAGAGAGAGATACTCTTTTGCCACTGAGCACTCTCCAAAAACCTTCAATACCTGGTACCTGTCGACGGGATTATTGCTGCAGTGGTGAGCTTCTCCATTGGACAAAATAATCCAATTTTTTGCAGGGGGATTTATCAGCATGTAAGGAGCATCCGGTGGTGCAGTGGGTTAAACTGCTGAGCTGCTGAACTTGCTGACCAAAATATTGACAGTTCGAATCTGGGGAGTGTGGTGAGCTCCTCCTGTTAGGCCCAGCTTCTGCCAGTTTGAAAACATGCAAATGCAGTTCTAAAAGTTTTTGCTGGGGAATCTACAGTCCCATAGCTTCTGGGGAAAGCAGTTCCCCAGCTTTACTAAGAAATACAGACAGGTTTGCTGGAAGGTAAAGGGCACCAGCTGGAATATCTACAAAGTCTTGGCCGGTAAGGTCTACTCAGGTTACCCATAAAGCAAATTGGAACCGGGAGTAGGGTCACACGCCAGCCTAAGAACAGATTGCCCAAGGAGGGGTCAAAGGGTTTCCTTTATAGAAGAAACAGTTCATGAAACAAGTTGCCTGTCCCTTGTGGGCAAGTTAAAAGTATTTGATTGATTTGTTGAAGATCTAAGAAGAATTTGATTGATTTGTTGAAGATTTAAGCATTAATAAAGAACCTTGTTAAACTTTCTAAGCTTCTAAAGACTTTGTATAGGGAAACCCATAGGGCCTCTCAGCCGAGGCACCCCAGGCATCCCACTGGGCATATAGAGACCACGTCCTGTTAATAGACAATAGCTACAGGCCCAGCGTGTGGCAGCACAGGCGCTAAATGCAGTCATGCCTGCCACATGACCTTGGAGGCATCTATGAACAACGCCGGCTCTTTGGCTTAGAAATGGAGATGAGCCCCAACCCCCAGAGTTGGACACGACTGGACTTCATGTCAGGGAAAAACCTTTACCTTTACCCTAAGGAGTCCCCAGTGGTGCAGTGGGTTAAACCGCTGAACTGCTGAACTTGCTGACCAAAAGATTGGTAGTTCGAATCTGGAGAGTGTGGTGAGCTCCTGCTGTTAGGCCCAGCTTCTGCCAACCTAGCAGTTTGAAAACATGCAAATGTGAGTAGATCAATAGGTACCGCTCCGGCGGGAAGGTAACGGCGCTCTATGCAGTCATGCTGGCCACATGACCTTGGAGGTGTCTACGGACAATGCCGGCTCTTCGGCTTAGAAATGGAGATGAGCAACACCCCCAAAAGTTGGACACGACTGGACTTCAAGTCAGGGGAAAACCTTTACCTTTACCCTAAGGAGCTCCCAGTGGTGCAGTTAAACTGCTGAGCTGCTGAACTTGCTGACCAAAAGATTGGCGGTTCGAATCTGGAGAGTGTGGTGAGCTTCCGCTGTCAGCCCCAGCTTCTATGATTCTGTTTGAAAACATGCAAATGTGAGTAGATCAATAGGTACCACTGTGTCGGGAAGGTAAGGGTGCTAAATGCAGTCATGCTTGCCACATGACTTTGAAGGCGTCTATGGACAACGCCGACTCTTCGGCTTAGAAATGAGCCTCAACCACCAGAGTCAGACACGACTGGACTTAATGGCAGGGGAAAAACTTTACCTTTACCTTTTACCTAAGAGACCAACTATACTTCCTGGTCTGAAGACTCTTCTTGAGCACGAAAACGCCCGCAGCCAAACACCAGTTCCGCCAAAAAGTCATAATGAAATGGTCACATTTAATGAATCACCTCTCCCCCGTGCCTCCCCTCCCCTTTCCCCATGTACCCGTGAGTGTGATTTTTGTAATATTTTTTATATACATCTATAAAAAGTTCAAATACATAGTTATGACTGTTTGGAATAATAGGACGTACGGTATTAAATACTGCACTTTGAACCGGGGTGGGTGGGCGAGGGGCTTGCGAAAAGGGGAACGGGGAGGGCGGAGCGGGCTTACAAAAAGGGGTCTGACTTCAGGAAGGAGAGGGGCAGAAATATGGGGTGGGGGGGGGGTAGTGGTGGACGGGACGCTTCCGTGTCGTTACATTCCCCGCAGGTAGGTATACACCCCACTCCCCAGTAATAAGACCCATACACAAACCGAAGAAGTGTCTCTTTGTATAAACGGGACGGACGCAGCTACAAACGGAAACGTTGTTCCCCAAATTTCGAGGATGGCGAGATGGCCAGCATTTCAGGCAAATGGTTTTTTTTTTGTGTGTGTGTCTTTTTATAAAAGCCCACCCTGCTTCGCCCTCCGTTGTCTCTGCTCTTGACACAGAAAAACACACACAAAGTCCTGGGGGTCTCGTGATGCCCTTCCTTTTTGGCGGACGGGATGCTTTCCCATCCTTCTTCTCGCCCGATGTACGGCAGGTTGGTCCTTCTCGCAGCTGCCCAAAGAGGAGGCGGGTCTCCTCTCGGTTTCCGATTTCTCTGCAGGTGAGGGTCTGCTCCCACCTGCTCTGGTCTGTCTTCTCTGCCCAGGAGTGGCAAGGGAGGGAGCCTCTTTGGCATGGCGGCTTAGCTGTATGATCCGAACCCGAGGCCAGGATGGCTGGTGCTCCCTCCCCTCCGCTCCGCTCCCCTCCTTTCGCTCCCAAAGGTGAGACCCTTCCCTCCTTCCCTGCATCCCGCTGGCTTCCCAAAGGGTCCCGTAGTTCGTTTTGCAGGGATTTGCAGCAACAAAGGGGCTGGGTGGTGGTCTCTGAGCTGCGGAGGGCCCTTCTTCGGAGGAGGTGAAGCGATGAAGAGGAGGGACACGAGGCGTCCTTCAGACCATGTGCAAAACAGAAGCAAAGACAGACGCTCCAGCAAGTCGGAGACCTCCCTTCCGTGGGGCTCAGGGGCCGGGTCTGCAGGACGGGAAAGAAAGAAAGAAAGAAAGAAAGAAAGAAAGAAAGAAAGAAAGAAAGAAAGAAAGAAGAGAGGAACAGGATTTAGCAGATTTTAAGATGCTTTGTGTCTCCTACGGGAGAGATAAAGCAGGATAATAATAATAATAATAATAATAATAATAATAATAATAATAATCAGGTTATTATTAATAATAATAATAATAATAAGGCCAGAATCAAAAAATCAGCTGATGACCCCAAATGCAGACTGTGCAAGGAAGCCATGGATCATCTCCTCAGCTGCTGCAAGAAAATCGCACAGACGGACTACAAACAGAGGCACAACTCTGTGGCCCGAATGATTCTCTAGAACTTATGTCACAAGGACCACCTGCCAGCAGCAAAGAAATGGTGGGATCATAAACCCACAAAGGTCGTGAAAAATGAACATGCAAAAATCCTGTGGGACTTTTGAATCCAGACTGACAAAGTTTTGGAACACAACACACCAGACATCACGATTGTGGAAAAGATAAAACTCTGGATTATTGATGTTGCCATTCCAGGTGACAGTCACATTGAGGAAAAACAACAGGAAAAACTCAGCCGCTATCAAGACCTCAAAATCGAACTGCAAAGGCTCTGGCATCAACGCAGTGGTCATGGGCACACTGGGTGCCGTGCCAAAAGATCTCAGCCGGCATTTGGAAACAATAAACATCATCAAAATCACGATCTGTCAACTACAAAAGGCCACCTGACTTGGATCTGCACGCATCATTCAAAAAATGCATCACACAGTCCTAGACGCTTGGGAAGTGTTCGACTTGTGATTTTGTGATATGAAATCCAGCATAGAGATCTCATTTGCTGTGACATACTGTGCTTTTGTGTCAATAATAATAATAATAATAATAATAATAATAATAATAGGATTTAAAGATTGAACTGCAAAGACTCTGGCACAAGCCAATCAAGATGGTCCCAGTGATGATCGACACACTGGGTGCAGTGCCTAAAGACCTTGGCCTGCACTTAAACACAATCAGTGCTGACAAGATTACCATCTGCCAGCTGCAAAAGGCTGCCCTCCTGGGATCTGCAGACATTATTTGCCAATATATCACACAGTCCTAGACCCTTGGGAACTGGAAGCATCTGACATGTGATCCAATACAATACCGAGCATAGTGATCTTGCTTGTTGTCCCCCTTGATGGACTGTCACACTAAAATTGCAACAGCACAACAACAGAGAGGAAGCAGGCAGGGACATCTAATTATCTCTCAACAAAAGTTTGCTCCAGGCACAGTCAGGCCATTGTATGCTAATCAAGGTGGTCAGTTGAAACATTCACACCTAGCTCCAGCAGACAAGAGTCCTTTGTCTCACCCTGGTCATTCCACAGATATATAAACCTTTTTCCTAGTTCCAACAGACCTCAATACCTCTGAGGATGCTTGCCATAGATGCAGGCGAAACATCAGGAGAGAATGCTTCTAGAGACATGGCCATACAGCCCGAAAAACCTACAACAACTCAGTGATTCTGGCCATGAAAGCCTTCGACAATACATTAGACTGTCACCTTGTTGTGGTGAGGGGGCTTGCGTGTTCCAAAGAACCTGTAGGCACAACAACTGGAGTCATGCACTCCCAGGAGTGGCCGCGGGGGAGGTTCCAGACCAAGCACAGTCCGAAGACCCAAAGACCTCAACGGCGGAGCAGGCGGAGGATAACATGGCACATGTTACAACGGCTGCGAAGGCGGAAGAAGGCTGCAACAGACTGAGAAGCCACGGTCATTGTGTTAAACTACATCACCAGTGGAACCTCACTCTGTGAAGACTGTGTGTTGATCAGTTGTGCACTGACCTCCACACATTAAAAAAACCCACGCACAGGCGTCTTCCAAAGAAAATAAAAACAAACCAACCAAAGTCCCATGGCGATCAGCGAGTGGCGAAGGGGGCAGGACTGTGAAATCTGGAAGCCCCTAGTCACAGACTGGCACATGGGCGGTGGGTACGGACTCAGTCGTTCTACCTCAAGGTCCGAGGCAGTTGAGTAGTTCGGCAGCTGTATCCGCGTGAGCAGCCCTTTTGAGGACCCACTCTGCTCACCCCACATGGGGAAGGGGCTAGAAAAGGTGCCCTAAACATAGTCTGCCTCTCTTATCCCTGATTGGACTGCCACGTCCAGTGGGGTCACCACCCTGCGGCCAAAAAAGAAAAATGAACTTTGGAACATGGAACGTACCAAAGCGAGGAGGAGCTGAGGAGCCTTCTAATCAAGGTGAAAGAAGAAAGCGCAAAAGCTGGGTTGCAGCTAAACATAAAAAACCAAGATTATGGCAACAAGAATGATTGACAACTGGAAAATAGAGGGAGAAAATGTGGAGGCCGTGACAGACTTTGTATTTCTAGGTGCAAAGATGACTGCAGATGCAGACTGTGGCCAGGAAATCAGAAGACGCTTCCTTCTTGGGAGGAGAGCAATGTCCAGTCTTGATAAAATAGTAAAGAGTGGAGACATCAGACTGGCAACCAAGATCCACCTAGACAAAGCCATGGTATTCCCTGTAGTCACCTACGGATGTGAGAGCTGGACCTTCGGGAAGGCTGAGCGAAGGAAGAGATCCTTGCAAACCGCCTTCTGCCCCTCTCAGAAGACACCCTCCCAGAATCCCAGAACGGCTTCCGCCCCTCCAGAGGAACCGTGGACATGATCTTCACTGCACGACAACTCCAAGAAAAATGCAGGGAACAAAACCAACCTCTGTACATGGCATTCATCGACCTTGCAAAGGCATTCGACACAGTGAATCGCAGCGCTCTCTGGACCATCCTCCACAAAATCGGGTGCCCAAGCAAATTTGTGAACATCCTGCGGCTCCTCCATGATGACATGATGGCAACAGTCTTGGACAGCAGTGGCTCCCAAAGTGACCCATTTAAGGTGGAATCTGGTGTCAAACAGGGATGTGTTATTGCCCCAACTCTATTCTCCATCTTCATCGCTATGATACTTCACCTTGTTGATGGGAAGCTTCCCACCGGAGTGGAAATCATCTATCGGACAGATGGCAAGCTATCAACCTCAGCAGACTGAAAGCCAAAACCAAGGTTACAACAACATCTGTTATAGAACTCCAGTATGCTGATGACAATGTCATCTGTGCGCATTCAGAAGAAGATCTACAAGCCACTCTCAACACCTTCGCAGAAGCATACGAGAAGCTCGGCTTGTCATTGAACATTGAAAAAACCAAGATGCTTTTCCAGCAGACACCAGCCAACCCCTCTCCAATGCCAGTGATACAGCTTAATGGTGTAACATTAGAAAATGTTGATCATTTCCGCTACCTTGGCAGCCACCTCTCCACCAAAGTCAACATCGACGCCGAAATACAACACCGCCTGAGCTCTGCAAGTGCAGCATTTTCCAGAATGAAGCAGAGAGTGTTTGAGGACCGGGACATCCGTAGGGAGACCAAGGTGCTTGTTTATAAAGCTATTGTCCTCCCAACCCTGCTCTATGCCTGTGAGACGTGGACTGTCTACAGACGTCACATGCAGCTCCTGGAACGTTTCCATCAGCGTTGCCTCCGGAAAATCCTGCAAATCTCCTGGGAAGACAAGCGGACAAACGTCAGTGTGATGGAAGAAGCAAAGACCACCAGTATTGAAGCGATGGTCCTCCAACATCAACTCCGCTGGGCCGGCCACGTTATCCGGATGCCTGACCACCGTCTCCCAAAGCAGTTGCTCTACTCCGAACTTAAGAACGGAAAACGGAACGTTGGTGGACAGGAAAAGAGATTTAAAGATGGGCTCAAAGCCAACCTTAAAAACTCTGGCATAGACACTGAGAACTGGGAAGCCCTGGCCCTTGAGCGCTCCAGCTGGAGGTCAGCTGTGACCAGCAGTGCTGCAGAATTTGAGGAGGCACGAATGGAGGGTGAAAGAGTGAAACGTGCCAGGAGGAAGGCGCGTCAAGCCAACCCCGACCGGGACCACCTTCCACCTGGAAACCAATGCCCTCACTGCGGAAGAAGATGCAGAGCAAGAATAGGGCTCCACAGCCACATACGGACCCACAAGGAATCCATAATGGAAGACCATCTTACTCGTCCAACGAGGGATCGCCTAAGTAAGTAAGTAGGAAAGTGCTGAGAGTGCCTTGGACTGCGAGAAGATCCAACCAGTCCATCCTCCAGGAAATAAAGCCCGACTGCTCACTGGAGGGAAGGAGACTAGAGACAAAGTTGAAGTCCTTTGGCCACATCATGAGGAGACAGCAAAGCCTAGAGAAGACAATTATGCTGGGGAAAGTGGAAGGTAAAAGGAAGAGAGGCCGACCAAGGGCAAGATGGATGGATGGCATCCTTGAAGTGACTGGACTGACCTTGAAGGAGCTGGGGGTGGTGACGGCTGACAGGGAGCTCTGGCGTGGGCTGGTCCATGAGGTCACGAAGAGTCGGAGACGACTGAACGAATGAATAACAACAAACATGGAGCATATGGACACTGATGCACAACCCTGACAGTGAACGCCCCCAATGATCTGGTGAAACATCTGACCGAAGCACCCACTGGCATCAACGAACGACTCTCATGATTCTATGATTCTATGTATGGACACTGATGGACAACCCTGACTGTGAACGCCCCCAACGCAAAACTGCCCTCATTGCAAGGGAGCTGGGACGCTTTAACATCGACATAGCAGCCCTTCAGAAGACCCGGAGAGCAGGAGAGGGACAGCTGAAGGAAGAAAAAGGAGGCTACACCTTCTTCTGGAAGGGACTGCCTGAAGAAGACCAAAGAATGCACAGAGTTGGCTTTGCTATCAGGAATGATCTGGTGAAACATCTGTCCGAAGCACCCACTGGCATCAACAAACGACTCTCAACCCTCCGAATCGATCTTGCCAAAAACCAACGGGCAACCATCATAAGTGCCTATGCACCAACACTAGATGCTGACGAAGACATCAAGGAGAAATTCTACTGTCAGCTGGACACCGTCCTATCGGGGATACCTAAGGAGGACAAAATCATCCTCCTGGGGGATTTCAATGCAAGAGTTGGGCGAGACTTCGGCCTGTGGCCAGGGACCATAGGAAAAGACGGGGTTGGAAACAGCAACTCAAATGGCATCCTGCTTCTCACCAAATGTGCGGAACACAACCTTGTCATCACCAACACGCTCTTCCGCCAGAAAAACAAGCTCAAGACATCATGACTGCTCTGAGGATACTCACTAAATAAAGTGAATGCTGAACAGCACCAGGACCAGGCTGACCACCAAGGAGAGGGCCACGGACGCGTTGTTGCCGGCATCGTCGGGGTCGGAGGGCCTGGCGGTGTGAGCGACCATGAAGGCGGAGGTGCTGGCCGTGGTCGTCTCTGTGGGAAAAAGAAAAGAATGAACATAAACATGGCATTACAATCACTGGATTGGAAAACACCCCCAAGGGCCATCTAGTCTGCCCTCAGTTCAGGAAAGCCCCATCCAAGCCTTCCCAACAGATGGACATCCAGATTCAAGTGAAGGAGACTCCACTGGACTCCAAGGCAGAATATTCCAATGCCAAACAGCTCTGATTGTTAGGAAGTCCTTACTAATATTTAGATGTGTTGGGGCATCTGAGATGATAAGCCTCAATTGGGGTGATTCCACCATAAATATAGCAGAGTACCAGAAGTAAACTTCATAACCAGCAGAAACTTACGTGTGGTGAACTAGAATAGCCTTCTATATCTTCCTAGAATCCTAGAGTTGGAAGAGACCTCATGGGCCATCCAGTCCAACCCCATTCTGCCAAGAAGCAGGAATATTGCATTCAAATCACCCCCGACAGATGGCCATCCAGCCTCTGTTTAAAAGCCTCCAAAGAAGGAGCCTCCACCGCACTCCGGGGCAGAGAGTTCCACTGCTGAACAGCTCTCACAGTCAGGACGTTCTTCCTCATGTTCAGATGGAATCTCCTTTCTTCTGAACATTACGAAGAACTTCCTGACTGTGAGAGCTGTTCAGCAGTGGAACTTACTGCCCCGGAAGCATTCTCTCCTAACATTTTGCCCACATCTATGGCATAACAACACTTTCCAGAAAAAGTGGTGTCCAACTGCATTAACTCTACAGTGTGTTCACACCCCAACTCCACAATCCACAAAAGGGCCAAAATGCTGATCAAAATGCATCATGCTTGCAAATGTGGAAATCAGTGGAATCACAGAGTTGGAAGCGCCCTCGTGAGCCATCCAGTCCAACCCCATTCTGCCAAGAAGCAGGAAAATTGCATTCAAAACATCCCCGACAGATGGCCATCCAGCCTCTGTTTAAAAGCCTCCAAAGAATCATAGAATCATAGAATCCTAGAGTTGGAAGAGACCTCCTGGGCCATCTAGTCCAACCACATTCTGCCAAGAAGCAGGAATATTGCACTCAAATAACCCCCGACAGATGGCCATCCAGCCTCTGTTTAAAAGCCTCCAAAGAAGGAGCCTCCACCACACTCCAGGGCAGAGAGTTCCACTGCTGAACGGCTCTCACAGTCAGGAAGTTCTTCCTCATGTTCAGATGTAATCTCCTTTCTTGTAGTTCTTGTAGTTTGAAGCCATTGCTCCATTGCATCCTAGTCTCCAGGGAAGCAGAAAGGAAGCTTGTTCCCTCCTCCCTGTGACTTCCCTTCATATACTTATACATGGCTCTCATGTCTCCTCTCAGCCTTCTCTTCTTCAGGCTAAACATGCCCAGCTCCTTAAGCCGCTCCTCATAGGGCTTGTTCTCCAGACCCTTGATCCTTTGAGTTGCCCTCCTCTGGACACATTCCAGCTTGTCAACATCTCCCTTCAATTGTGGTGCCCAGAAGTGGACACAATATTCCAGGTGTGGTCTAACCAAGGCAGAAGAGAGCATGGGGAGCATGACTTCCCTGGATCTAGACCAGTGGTTCTCAACCTGGGGTCCCCAGATGTTTCTGATCTACAACTCCCAGAAATCCCAGCCAGTTTAGAAGCTGTTGGAATTTCTGGGAGTTGAAGGCCAAAAACATCTGGGGACTCCAGGGTGAGAACCACTGGTCTAGATACTAGACTCCTATTGATGCAGGCTCAAATCTCATTGGCTTTTTTTTGCCGCCGCATCACATTGTTGGCTCATGCTTAACTTTTTGTCCACGAGGACCCCAAGATCTTTTTCACACGGACTGCTCTCGATCAGGATTGCAGAGTCAGAACTTTAGGTTCAAAAGTATTTATTGAAGTAAAAGAAATACATTCTTGATAGAAAAGATTTTGGAGCTCACTAGCTTACTAAGTCAAAAAATCCATGCAGCTACTTTTTGCCTTGAGAAAGAGGCAAAATGCTTCCTCACTGGAAGGAAGAAAGAAAGGCAGAAGAGAACAACGGTGGAGACCACATGGGGGAGAGAAGACAGTGGCTAGAAGCAGGAGGAGAAGTGAAGACCCTTTGGAAAACATACATGGGGAAAAGTGGGGAATGGAGTCCCTCAGCTTTGCTCTGTCTCTACCCTAGCTACTCATTGAGGACTGGAAACTTGATGATGCAAGAGACTTGTGCAGGGATAAAACTCAACAAGATGGAATCTCATTTGAATCCATTACTCTGGAGATCTTCCATCTTGTCCATCTCACCCCATACTTTTTGCTTGCCTTCATTGTACCCCAACATGGCGCAGCTCTGAAATACTTATTTGCAACTAGCCGTCCCCTGCCACACTTTGCTGTGGCCCAGTCTGTGTATATGTGTTTTTGTGTGTGTATATATTTGTGTACGTGTGTTTCTGTATATATATGTAGTTTTGCACATGCATTGTAATGGATTTTTTTTGTCTTTTTAAGTCTCTTTTGCTGTGTTTTTCAGTGTTTTTATGAGTGATGGTCACTCAATGGCCTGATAGGTGTATTGTGTCGAAAACTGGTGTCAATTCGCCCAGTGGTTTTTGAGTTATGTTAATCCCACAAACGAACATTACATTTTTATTTATATAGATGACATCCTTACGCATAGAATCATAGAATCAAAGAGTTGGAAGAGACCTCTTGGGCCATCCAGTCCAACCCCATTCTGCCAAGAAGCAGGAATATTGCATTCAAATCACCCCTGACAGATGGCCATCCAGCCTCTATTTAAAAGCTTCCAAAGAAGGAGCCTCCACCACACTCCGGGGCAGAGAGTTCCACTGCTGAACAGGCTTTGACATCTATGATCATAACACAGGCCTAGATCTATCTTGTAGTTTGAAGCCATTGTTCCGCGTCCTAGTCTCCAAGGAAGCAGCAAAACAAGCTTGCTCCCTCCTCCCTGTGGCTTCCTCTCACATATTTATACATGGCTATCATATCTCCTCTCAGCCTTCTCTTCTTCAGGCTAAACATGCCCAGCTCCTTAAGCCGCTCCTCATAGGGCTTGTTCTCCCGACCTTTTATCATTTTAGTCTCTCTCCTCTGGACACATTCCAGCTTGTCAATATCTCTCTTAATTGTGGTGCCCAGAATTGGACACAATATTCCAGGTGTGGTCTAACCAAGGCGGAATAGAGGGGTAGCATTACTTCCCTAGATCTAGACACTATGCTCCTGTTGATGCATGCCAAAATCCCATTGGCTTTTTTTGCAGTCACATCACATTGTTGGCTCATGTTTAACTTGTTGTCCACGAGGACTCCAAGATCTTTTTCACACGTACTGCTCTCGAGCCAGGCGCCCCCCATTCTGTATCTTTGCATTTCATTTTTTCTGCCAAAGTGGAGTATCTTGCATTTGTCACTGTTGAACTTCATTTTGTTAGTTTTGGCCCATCTCTCTAATCTGTCAAGATCGTTTTGAATTCTGCTCCTGTCCTCTGACTATTTGCTATCCCTCCCAATTTGGTGTCGTCTGCAAACTTGATGATCATGCCTTCTACCCTTCATCTAAGTCATTAATAAAGATGTTGAACAGGACTGGGCCCAGGACGGAACCCTTGCGGCACGTCACTCGTCACTTCTTTCCATAAATTGCATATGCCTTCATTGTACCCCAACATGGCGCAGCTCTGAAATACTTATTTGCAACTAGCCGTCCCGGTAGGCTGTTAGGAATGGTGGGAGTTGAAGTCCAAAACACCTGGAAGGCCCAAGTTTGTCCATGGCCGCACTACAGTCATCCCTCCTCATTCACTCATGTTGGGGCACAGAAAAGAAAATATGAATTTAAAAATGCCATGTTAGTAATATAATAATTAAAGCAGCTGGCATCTTGTTCCAAAAGCACAAGTCCACATTCACTTTTGGGGTGACTGCAAAGACTGGAAGCCAATTGGATTTAGGATTATATATAAAGGGATAGTGGAAGGACTTTTTCCAACTCACCACCAGGGGGCAGTGCAGGACCATTGTAAACATTGGCAATTCTCAGTTCTTGTGGGTTTTTCCGGGCTATATGGCCATGTTCTAGAGGCATTTCTCCTGACGTTTCGCCTGCATCTATGGCAAGCATCCTCAGAGGTATTGAGGTCTGTTGGAACTAGGAAAATGGATTTATATATCTGTTAATGACCAGGGTGGGACAAAGGACTCTTGTCTGTTGGAGCGATGACTGTTTCAACTGACCACCTTGATTAGCATACAATGGGCTGACTGTGCCTGGAGCAAACTCTTCTTGAAAGGTAATTAGATGTCCCTGCCTGTTTTTTTCTCTGCTGTTTTTGCTGTTGCAATTTTAGAATTTTTTAATACTGGTAGCCAGATTTTGTTCATTTTCATGGTTTCTTCCTTTCTGTTGAAATTGTCCACATGCTTTTGGATTTCAATGGCTTCTCTGTGTAGTCTGACATGGTGGTTGTTGAGTGGTCCAGCATTTCTGTGTTCTCAAATAAAATTCTGTGTCCAGGTTGGTTCATCAGGTGCTCTGCTATGGCTGACTTCTCTGGTTGAAGTAGTCTGCAGTGCTTTCATGTTCCTTGATTTGTGTTTGGGCAATGCTGCGTTTGGTGGTCCCTATGTAGACTTGTCCACAGCTGCATGGTATACGGTAGACTCCTGCAGAGGTGAGAGGATCCCTCTTGTCCTTTGCTGAACGGAGCATTTGTTGGATTTTCTTGGTGGGTTTGTAGATTGTTTGTATGTTGTGTTTCCTCATCAGCTTCCCTATGCGGTCAGTGGTTCCCTTGATATATGGCAGGAACACTTTTCCTCTGGGTGGATCTTCATCTTGACTCTCGTGGCTTGTTTCGGTTGTCTTGCAGCTCTTCTGATGTCTGAGGTGGAGTATCCATTGGCCTGGAGAGCCCAGTTGAGGTGGTTCAGTTCATCTTGGAGGAGGTGGGCTTCGCAGATTCTTCTTGCACGGTCTGCCAAGGCTTTAATGGTGCTTCTTTTTTGACTTGGGTGATGGTTGGA